CCCCCCCCCCCCCCGCGGCGCGTAACGGCGGCGGTTGCTTGCCACCTTTTGCAATGTGGCGTTGGAAATGCATCCGACGAACAGATGAACGGCGCCGCTGGGGAGCAAGAAGATGCACCGGACTTCGAAGAGTTCGCTCCTGAGATCGACTTGATGATTACGGATGGAACCAAGGCTGGATGATCTCCCTCGAAAAGCTAAAAGAAGGAGGCAGAAATTGTACTGTAAGAGACGGCATCCTCCCTGTAAAATAGCGTGGCATTGGCATTGGAACGCTGGCGTTGGTTGTTGATTGTTTGTTGTCGATTGGTGGGGGGAACAGCCTGTTCTGATTGTTTCGGTAACCTAGACTTGTATGATTGAGAGAGCGGGGCGGCCTGCGCACGGTACTCAGCAGCAGCAGCAGCAGCAGCAGCAGCAGCAGCAGCATCCGGTCGCTGTTGATGAAGAGTGGTTGCTTGCTCGGTGGAAGCGTTCGTTGGCTAATGGGTGCGCCCTGTGTTGGTTTGTTTGACGATTGAGAGCGCCCCGCGGAAGGGTGAGTAAGGCTCATGCGAAGCTGCGAAGCGGCGCCTACAAGTGTGTGTGTGTTCGCGCCTTCGCTCGCTGACAATTCTATAGCCGGGCGAGAAGCATTTTTTGTCCTTGTCTGGCTCGGTTGGGAGGCACCCCAAGGGTATACTGCCATCGGAATAGGCCCCGGTTGGTATCTGCGCCCTTCGGTTATTACATGGATGGATATGTTTGGAATTGGCCTTCACATTTAGTTTGGATCGCATTGCGGTGGGCGTGTGCCATATGTTTTTCTTGGAATGTATATTGCGGTGGTTATAGGTTGGGAGCCAGATTTTTTTTCCCACATAGCCTGCATGCGCGGTGGGGTTTTGACGTAGTGCGTGGGCTTTTTACTATCGTGTCTGCTTTGGTTCTTCCTCCTCATTCGCTGAAAACATTGGCTGGGTATTGATATGGTTTTCACGTACGTGCGTACTTACAGCTTGTCCCTTGTTTCGTTTTTTTCTAGGCGTGGTGAAGAAAAGTTCACGAGAATGTTGTTAGAGCTTGGTAAGTTGTCCTTTTGACTACTCTGCATAGGCATCTGTTTGTTCGTCGGCTATGTATACGGGCTCTGGGTGATGGGAGTTTAGGCTGGGAGGCTTTCTTCTGCGAACTCCCTTGTACGCCCGGCTCGGCTCGTGTCAGTAGTCTGTTTATCCATGGGTCAAAACTTAGTTGTGTGCGAAACTGGACATGGTTTGCTCTTTTTGTTCGCCCTCTTCGCACTATCCCGGGGTGGTGCCTCGTGTTTGTTGCTTCTTTCTTTTAGGTCTGAATGTTTGTTGGCGTTCGTTTTCCAATCTGTTGGCGGAGCAACATTGCCACGCTGCGTGCTCGCGTGCGTGCATGCGTGCGTGCGTGCGTGCGTGCGCATCAGTTCTCTCCCAATATACATACATTTTTTTTTCCGTGTGTGTAGAGAAAAGAAAGGAAAGACTTTTCCATGTTAATGGTGATGATGATGGGTGATGACCAACGGCGGTGTTGTGTCGTGTGTCGTCTCTTTTGTCGTTTTGTTGGAGTTCTAGTGGGTTTCGGGGGGCAGCGGAACAGACGTACGGAAGATTTTTTGGCCAGCCTGGCGTATGCACATTTGATCGCGCTGTGTGTGCAGCTGTGCGGAGCGGTTCCGCGCAAGGGCCCTGAACGGGGAGTTGTATTGTCCGGGGAGGGGTCGTGTTTCGGGAAGGGGGTGGGTGGGGGGGTCATACACGTTTATCTTGCGTCCACGCGGAGATTGAAATGGTTCAGTCCATTGTGGACGCTGCTGTTATTGTGTTATGACGGTGCACCTAGACATGCAATCCCGTGCAACCAGAACATACCGTCACAAAGCAGCAAACACGGATGTACACATCCATCGGCCAAAAAGTAGAAGTAGCATATGTACACAGCTGTCTGTTTTATGTTTTTGCCCCATTTCGGCGGGCTTTTTTAGCTACAGCAGTAGTCTAACGTTTTCCGGCGAGGAAGCTCCTATCTTTGCATCTGAAGGGGGGGGAAGCGGAAGTGGTACTGGGCGAAGGAGGTCGAAAGGTTTCCAATTGTGAAGGCGACGGACAGAGCAATCAACTAGTATGAAACCGTCGCGGTGTGGCCTTTGAGTCACCTCTTGCAAGGAGGATCAGTGGGCTGTCAGGAAGCAGGACAGATGATGGACTCAGCCTCTTCCGAAGCCCACGGAAGCGGCCTCGGGGATGAGCTTTTGTACGCTTGCTTCTCCTTGCTACAGGCCTTCCGCCGGTCAAACCCGCCCCACCTGCCGCTGATCAATGGTCTAACCGCGAAGGCATGCAAAACATGAGAGTACGCCCCCCCACCTGCCGCCGCGAGCGTCTCGTTCCACGCTCGTGATCAGTGATAACGCCTGCCTACAGTCGTAGTGGTCCCGATATAGTGCCGGCGAAATCGCGGGACACAGATGGAATACTCAAGTTGTGATATACTCTGAATATTAATGCCGGTGAAATCGTCTCGGCATAGATGGAACATTCAACTTATTTCATACCCTGGGTAGCTACATTATGATGCCGGTCGCCCCCTACAAATGCAGGTGAAATCGGCCGGATCGCACCGGGCAATATCCCGGGACCGCTTCTCTCTGTACTTTGATATCTGTTGCGTGTTTCCTGAACGACGGCTGCGGTTCTCTCCCCCGGAGGTTCTGCTGGATGCATGCATAGACTAGTCTCCGGCGTCTCACCTGCCACGGTGGGTGTGTAATGATCGGTCGAACGTACATGTCTGTGCCGAGTAACGGCAATGGTGCAGAATTTACCCATGAGGACGAGAGCAGTCGGGCCTTGACGCGGGAGAGGCTACTACGCGGGCGGGCCGGGGGCACAAGTCCTCCAGTGGATAAGCCTGCACGTCAGCAAGGTCGGTGGATTCATATACATGTACCATTTTTTGTTGAGTTTCTTCAGAGTAATTTTGTGTTGAAACATTTTTCTCGACTTGTTTTTCTGTGCATGACGACGATGACCATACAAGAAACGTTGTGGTCTTCACCTAAAAAAACAATGCGATCGCTGCTCGTTCTAAGATATAAATGCGCCTTTGTACTATATCTGGTCTACCTGGCGCAAACGCCTCCGACAGTATCTATGAAGGATCCGTGAGAAGAAAAAATGAATGGCTCAGGTTTTCGCGAAAAAACTCCAGGTACAAGGGCAAAATACTCAAGGCTCAGCACCACAGATCGAAACAAAATATAAGACTTCCCAAGAAAAAACAATAGCGATGGGCACCCGAAGACATGTGGAGAAAAAGGAATAGACATTGTTTTTTGACGTTTGCCAAGAATAAACGAAGATGCGCCCGTTCCTCCCCATCCAAGTCCTCACATGTCCTTCATCCCCTCTCTCTTTGTCGACTGTGGTTCGTTACACTCCCCGTGCTACCGAGCGACAAGAACCCGAAGCAAAAGCCAAGAAGGCATAAAATCACCCGCATTTCGATAGTTTTCCCACTCCCCGAGACATTTTACTGGTGTTCTCCAGGGAAATCGAATCGATCGTCTAGGCTTCCCCGAACAAAATATTGGGTGTTTTTTTATCATGAGGTCGGCCAGAGCCAGACGAGTATCTTCGTGGTCGGTTTCTCTCGACCACGGATGGATGGATGGATGGGTTCCATGCGCACACATCCGCTTCCCCCCCACACTCTAGACCTGTATGGAGGAAATATCCCTCCTCGAGCTTAGATAATCTAACACGTTCAACGTCAAATACCGTCTTCTCTTCCTACTGGGGAGTGCACCCTGTCCCAAGTAATAGCGGATCGCGCGTACACCCTGTATTCTTGATTCATGCCCAAGGATTCCAACAACAAACTAATCGCTGCATGCCCGCACCTGCTCGTCACGGAGCTCAATCACGCCTCCTCCCCTTGTCTGGAAAACCACTGGGGGGCCGCCTTCGCGAGAAATTGGAGCAAGTAAAACAGGGAGGAGAGGGGGTACGCAGACCCTATTCCCAGCCCAACTTCCCCAAATTGCGAGCTTTATCCAATATATTTACATCATCGAAAAATCCTGTGAAGGCAGGCTACTGGGACCGCGAAACAGCCGCAGGAATCAATTTTGCCCACGGCAGCGCAAGGCAACAACACCACCAACACCGAGGAGGATGGACCCCACACCAGCGTCATATCACACGCAAACAAAAAAAGGAGGAGGTGGATACACGGTTCGGCTTTTAAGGAGTTTGGTCTCTACAAAACCCTCGCGTGCAGACAACCTTGCATATCAGCCCACGCTCACGTGGAGACGAGGCTGGACGACGCGAGCAACAAGACAAGCACATTCATTCCATTCAAAAAAAAATCAACGATCACTACTGCTGGTTGCTTCAAGAGCACGGGCAAAAGAATCCCGATGACGAAAAACAGAACACCGCCCGCCGCCGTTGCTTTCGCTGGAGCAGACAACACGGCGACACAGAAAAACCACAGCAAAAAAACATGCGTGAAACTTATATTCAGTAGTGGCCGCTTTTTCCCTTCCTCCCACATGACATCGAAAGGCAGCAGTTCTCAAACCGCAAAAAAGCCGGAACCAACCGTGTATCCTCTATTTACACGCATTACACCACGCCACGCACCACACTTCTCACCATGAAGTGGGAGAGAGGCAAACACACGACGAGTAGTCTTCGAAACCCGTTTAGGAGCACAACCAATAGCTTCCCCCCCCCCCCCCCCCCCCCCCCCCCCCCCCCCCCCCCCCCCCCCCCCCCCCCCCCCCCCCCCCCCCC